GATGCAAGGGAAGCACACACAAAAAGAACATCTGAAGAACAGGACAGAGGGTGCAGGGTAGAAGGCAGAATGACCACTTAGTAAGGGGACTTTTATGTAAAGCCTAAGAGGCAATCCCTCTGCCCTTAGCGATCTGCCAGCCAGGTGTCCTATAAAGATGACACGAGTTAGAATGCAGGCACCCTAACATGGGAATCAGGTATTATACTGTTCCCCACTAACGTGCAAGACAAGTATTATCGCCACAAACAAGAAGGCTAAAGCTCAAAAACGAAATGCTTTCCTGACGTCAAATTGCTATTGTGTTAAGGCCAAGTTTAACCCTTGTGTTTAAACTGGAATTTGGGGTTTACTCCAAAACTTGAGAGGTTCGTCACTGGCAAATGTTCCCTAGATCTATTTTCTTCTTACTGTGCTATATACAGAGACTCAAGAGATGCAAGTGGCAAGTAGGTGCCATACAGGGCTTAAGGATAGTTTCTCAATTCTAAAACTCAACTGGTTGTAAAAGTATCTCACCAATTTAATGACATTCCAAAAAAGGAGGTAAAACTACACAGGTGTCAAAATATGATTGAAATAGTTAAGAGAAAATGGGGTGGTGAAAAGATGGAAATATAACTTAGGATGGAAAGGACCAGAGACTAATGTTTGGTCATTTTATAAAAACTGAGACTTGGCCCTATAAATGTCTTACATTAACAGTAAATAGAGCAGAGACTGGAATAGAGGTATTGATTCTTATGCCCATGTCCTTCAACTACCCCCTCAAATTATAGTCAAAATTCTATATACAGCCCTAGAGGACTGCATGGTGTTCAAGTGTCTCAGATACACACTCACTAGCCCCAACTCAAGTGGCCTGAGGCCAGAAACAGTTAAGAAACCAAACTGGTTTGGTCTTTCCATGATTTGACACCATGCAAGGAAAATGGTGAAGCAAAACCTAATTTAGAGGATCAATAACTGTGGACACCAGTGAGTTTTTTGTCCTTCTGTGAGAATACTTTAGAAATAATGAAGGTTAATACTAGGACACAAATGGTTTCTGCTTTCATTACCAATTAACTACACAAATGATAATATATCTTCTCTAACTTACTGACTCTGAACAAGAGAATCAAAAAACAAAAAGTCTAAAAAGGGGGAAAAAAAACTATCACTAGAAGTTAACATGGATTTACAAAAATAAACCGGGTGAGTCTTTACTGTACAGATGGATTCTCTCTATAGCACGCCTTTAAAATAGTCAAACCCTGTAATGCACTTAAAATAAGACATGCATGACTAAAAATTGGGAACATGTCTTTTGAGTAAGACAAGATGTTTTTAAGTGAAAAGTGCCTTCATTGACTAGGACAAAGTGAAATTCAGATCATACTAACAGATAAATACAGGGTTAGATACTGATCAGGCAGGACCTGTGCTCTCAGCAGACACTTCTGATCTTCTAGGAAACATCAAATTATGGGGGATGGGAAGAAATTATAGGAAGAACTAAAGTAAAAATGTATTTGTAAAGTTTTTGGGTGGCTTTGTTTTGGAAAGGGGATTCAGAATTGGAAGAAAGAATTCAAAAGAAGCTGTTAAAGTTTTCCCCAATTAAGTTTCTTACTTCCCAACTAGGAATCTTTCTTTGTACAACATTCCATCGAACTCCACCACTAAAACTGTAGAGTTTTAATTCACATTTCAAACGAAAGAGCCTCAAACACAAAGTAAATGCATTAAGGTTTCAAAGCTGACAGTCTACTCAAGAAATAAACTATTCTCCAAATCATTTGCATTTTATCCATAAGCTAAGTTTTATCTTGCAATCATTTTGATTTGTGCTTCTTTTAGCAATCAAAATAACTTCCACACCGTGACATGGCAGTAGAATAAGTTTTTTTTAAGTAACTAAAAATCAGGCTGAAAAATTAGCTACACCTTCCCCATAAAACCAATCTCTACTGTACAGAGCTAGCTCTACTTAAGATACAACCACCCCATGCAGAAACACAATGGATCTCTATGCATTTACTTTATACCATGTAACTAACAGTGTGACCTAAGGGAGGAAAGTCACATGGTCCCTTGCTTTTAAAAGTCTGTGGAAGGCTTGGGTGGAGGGGACTGCCTGTAATCCCAGCTCAGGAGGCTGAGCCAGGAGGATCACAAATTTGAGGCCAGTCTCAGCAACTTAGACCCTGTTTCAAAATAAAAAGGGCTAGGGAAGGAGCTCAGTGGTAGAGCACCTGGGTACTGGAGGGTGGGGATGGGACAGTCTGTGGAAGCCTATTAGAGTGTTCCAGGACTGACAAGAGTCCTAACTCCAGCACACAAAGGAGAAGGATTCTGCTGAACAGAGAGCAAGTAAAGTTCATATAATAGTACACAAAAGCACAAAATAATGGAATCACAGTGATTTATCTGAAAAGATTTGCTCTGTAAGCCATGGGAAGGCATTCCTGGGGACAGGGAGCTGCTTAGATACCACATATACAAATCTGTCACACAACCCAGCCACATACTCAGGCCCTATAAATCCACAAATTGGTAATGTAAAGGAGTATCAGATTCAAGCCTAGATTTATAGGACACAAGGGAAAAACTTACAAACCAACATCCTCCAGCCACAAACTCCTTCTGCATCACAATACACACACCTAGGACACATCCTTTCCAAAGAACACCCCCCCAACAAGCTATTCTGCTATGCCATCCCCCCACCCCCCCACCCTGAGTATGGTCCACTGGTGCTAGGAGCACAGAGAGTTCAGAGCAGAGCAGTCCAGCATGTCCAAGAGGCACAGGAAAATACAGGCAAGAGTGCACTTGGGAGAGAGGAGAAAGGGCCCTTGGAAATGATTTTGAAAGAGTTTGGTTTCAAAGATTATGAGCAAAGAATGGAGCAGGACTCCTCCCCTCTTGAAGTCTCTAATATTCCTTTCACTCTCAAACTAAGTTGCTTTAGAAAAATAACAATGTTTAAACAGAGATGCAAATGTATATAGACATATATATGTATACATTTTGTTGCTGGTTTGAGACAGGGTCTAGATAAATTGCCTAGGCTGGCCTCACACTGGTGATCCTCCCATTTCAGTTTCCTGAGTAGCTGGAATTACAGGTATGAGCCACCACCTGCCAATAACAATGTTTTAAAATAACATTCAAATGCACCTAGTTTGAAAAACCAAATACAAATTATTAAACTTGGCAACCTGGAGATTAACAAATTATTACATTCATCAAGTGTCTACTAAGCATCTACTCTGCGCCTGTTTCTGAGCAGAGGAGACAACTCACACAACAAGCTCACAGGAGTGCTGAGGATATGTGAAATAAACAAGTCACTATAATACAATGTAACAACTGCTCAGGGAGCACAGAGGAAGCACACCTTCTCCCAGGTGGGTCAGCCTCTGAATGTGTGTGTTTGAAAAAAGGAGCCACCAGCAGGCAATATTCTCTGGGAGCTTTTCTGAAGGGTGGGCGTACACTGATGGGACAGGCAGGCGCACAGGAATGTCTGGCAGGACATGGCCAAAAGGTATCAGGAGCGGGAAACTAGTGTCCCTGGAGCTTGGGAGAGGGAGCAGAAAGTAGAATGTGGAGAGATTAGAACCCAAAAGTGGGCTGGAGTTCCCACACTGCGAGATTAATGCTTCTGTGGACTTTCACCTTAGAATCCAGGGAGCTCCAGCAGGGGCGGGCCACACCTTGGGCTACCCGGGAGGTGCGCGTCCAGCAGGCGACTCTGCCAGCGTGCACTCGGACACGCTCAAGCCGTCCGCGAGGCTCCGGGCGAAACGACCTCCTCCTCCCTTTTGAAATGATCTACGTTTCTACTACTAATTACCAAAAATCACAGGCGTGCTCTCAATAAGTACCCAAGGCTGAAAGGGGAAAAGTCACAGCCGGCAATTTCGGCGAGGATGCCGCCCAGCCGGCCCCACAGGCCAGGCTGACGTCGAAGGGGTCCAGGTGAAGAGAATCCCAGCCCATCAAACCAGCGAGTCCGCCCGCGGCGCCACACAACTTCTCCTTCGGCGAGAAGGCGACTTCCGAGGGCGCGCCCCCGTCCCCGTCCCGCCGCTGCGAGGTGGCGGCCCCGGCGCACCGGGTCCCGCAGAGAGGTCGCGGCGCACGCTGGAGCCCGCTCGGCCGCATCGCCCGGGCGGGGGCCCGGCGCATCCTCGGCGCGGGCCGGGGCCGGGGCCGGGGCCGGACAAAGGGGAGGGCGCGGCGCGGGGACGCCGGCCCGGACGCAGGACGCGCTCCGAGGACACTCGAGCGCGGCTCGAGCCAAAACAAAAACAACCGAAAGTTGAGCGCGGCCGGGGAGCAGATTGGGCGAGCCCGATCACGGCCGCCCATTGGCGAAGAGGGAAGGCAGAGTCCCCCAATCGCGAGGGGCGGGCTGCCCCCCTCGCGCGGCCGCGGCCCGGCCCGACGCGGCCCGGCGGCCGCTACCGCTCCCTTCCGGCCGCGGCCACCACTGCAGGCCGCCCGCCGCCCGCCCCGCCCGCGGCCGCCCCGGCCCGGCGGCCCCCCCGGCGTGCCCCCCATAAGGACCCCCGG